CCTCTGCCCCGCACCTGCAGGGCAGAGCCCGAAGGCCAGGACCGCCATACAGGCACTGGGCAGAGGCCCAGGTGCCTGGCTGCCCCCCGCCACCGCCCGCAGGCAATGGCCAAAGTCCGCCGCCCGCCCACAGGTGGGTGGGGCGAGCACGCAAAGACAAATCAACACACTAAGTGGAAAATAGCAAACGTCAGAGATAGCGCAACTGGCCCCACCACTCGCCTCCAGGCTCTCGAGACTGCGACTTTGCAGTCTACCAGCTGTTGGCATTGATAGTGGGGATCTGCAAGCCGCCGCGGGAGTACCGCGTCTGCTGTGGGTTACCCAGGCTGCTTGTTGCCTGGCGTCCTCCGCCGCGGCCTCCTCCTCATTCCTGCGTTTTGCTGCGTTGGAGACCTTCTCCTCGGCAGGGCGCCTGCCCGCCAAGGGGGCTGGGGGCATGGGCGCGTCGGCAGCCGCTGCAGCTGCCTCCTCGCCAGCACTTCTGGCCACCGCCGCTTCCAGGGGAACAGCCGCTGCCCCTGCTTCGGCTTCGGCTGCTTCTCGTTGTGGCGCCACTCCCTCTGTTGCTGCTCGCTCGCTGCCCGCTGCACCGCTGGACTCCACCCCGCGAAGGTGTGCGGCGAACTCAGCCATGGGCGCCGCCAGCTGCTCCGTGAGGACGTCGGAGAGGCTGTTGTGCAGGAAGATCATGCTGTTGAGAAAAGCCTGAGCTGAGTCTATCGTACCGCTCTGTGCCATAGCCAAAATCGCAGCCCCTTTGCCTGCTGTCAGAGTCAACCCAGGAGGCAACTGCGACATGTAAGGATCCTGGAGAGCCAACTGCTGCTCCCTCAAGAGATTGGAAACTTTTAGCTCCAGCTCCGACTTCGTGACTTTCGCCGCCCCGATGTCGGCGACGAGCAGCGCTCGCTTCACCTCGAGGTCGTCAAGGGTCTGCTGCTGCTTCTCAATGTGCCCAGTCTGCTGCTCAAGCTGCTGCTGGGCCTTGTGTAACTTAGTATAGATGGCCTGTGCCATCTGGCTCTCGGTTCTTTCAGCATCGCGATCGAGTCGGAGCTGTGCCAGAACTCCTCCCAGAGCCGTCATCGCCTGAACTGTTCGGGCCTCGTCCCTGCCCTCTGCCTTCGACTCCACCCCTTTCGAGAGGTCCAGGGACTGCTGCAGCTGAAGGATCCGCGGGCCCATCTTCTATTCATCGGTGTTCTTTTTGGCCTTCGCTCCTGGCACCGCCGCACCTGGACGTCCAGGTTCTGCTGGCGGTGGAGACTCCCAGTGCCTGCCGCACTGCCAACGCCACTGATGACGAACAGAGGCACTGGCTGAACAATACTCACACCTCCATGAGAACGATTGCACTTCCGGCGGCGGCGGTGGCGGCGCCTGGGACTTGGCAGTGGTCTTGCCATTGCCCTTGCCTTTGCCCTGGCCTCCCTGGGCCTGGCCGCCCTTCCGCCCGCCTTTTCCACGGCCTCCCATGAGGTAAAATAATGAAGAGGAGGTAGTGCGTGATTCCCCCCGCGGCCCTGCATTGGACCGGGTCTGGAGTGCAGGGGGATGTTGGAAGGCGCTGCGCCACTCGAGCCCTCACCCCTCTCGAGCGAGGGAAATGGCTTGGGCCAGAGCTACGGACTCGTCCCTCTCCTCTTCCTCCTTGTCTCCCTCCTCCTGTTATGTTATGTTATGTTCGGGCCGGTTCTGTTCTGTCTTGCTATGTTAGTGTGGAGGCGGGATCCTCGCGACAAAGAGCCCAGTGTTCAACGAGGTGTCAGGCGCGTGCTACATCTTGCGGAACGGGCCCAAGATCTCGTGGATAACCCCCATGCGATCGTAATTTCATGGGTATGCATCTCTCCCCAACGCAGAACACTGGGTGCATCGTTGTCTCGAACGAATCACAGGTGCTTCGAGGCTTGGGGATGGTAGGTGCGGTCTGTCCGGCGAACAGCTGACTAGGTAGAGCAACGCCCCCCGGCCAGACCGAGTGTAATTTCTATGCGGATGCTATGAGCATCTCCGTCCGTCTCGGGGATTCGAATGTCCGAATTGCAGCAGGGGCCCAGTTTACGCCGCGGGTAACCGGCGGCCTCCAAAGATGGGCTGGTGAAGCACGGGTTGCGCGTCGTCGGTGCGGAGCAGCTCGCGGAGGCATCCCGACTGCAAAGGTGGAAGCAGTTTTCGCGCTGGTAGCAGCGGCAGACGGGGAAGGTCTTGTCCAGAAGGAAGCACAGGAGAGTGAGCGCAGTTGCATTGTCGACCGCAATGCCCAGAGAATAATGACAGATCGCTGGGTGCTGTCCGCTGTTACGCACGAGTCGCGATAATTGCGGTCTTTAAGAGGCATGGGGTCCGAGGTCCGTGCAAGGGCGGCGTCTCTAGCTTGGGCCGCGGAGTGCGAGCCGCGCAAGCCAGCGGCTTGTCCTCTGCCGCTCACGAAGAAGTTTGGCAGATTAGTGGAAACATCGCAACCGTATGTAAGCAATCTCGGGTTTGATTGCCACAGTGTGAAAGAGATCATCTCATGGTATCAGGAGCTCTGTTCCCCAGCCGTTCCGGATCCAAGGGTTCCGACTCCAGTGCCCTGCATGCTCTGAATTGGGACTTTCTTGATCCTGAAAGAGCTTGGGGCACCGATCCGGGCGACGGTTGTGAAGATTGGTCCAGAGGTAACGGAGTCGACTTGAGCTTCGAAAAGATGCTTGACTTGGCCCAGTGTGCGATGTTTACGAAACGTGACTACTTACGGCACTTGGCAGAAGGGCAGGGGCGCTGCTTGTATGTTCAACAGTGCGCGTTCTTTTCATAATGGTAAAAAGGCCGTTGAAGGCCCCGAGTCGATCAAGACTGCGATTCGCGGCGACGACTACAATTTAGCTCGCGGCAGCGTGATGTACATTCCAGGGAATTGGCCATTGGCCTGTCTGGGCCCCTCCGTTTTCAAAGGCAATGGAGGTTCCCCCGGTCCGATGGAATTCATGTCGGACGAGGGGGTGGCGGCGGAAACAAGCGCCGAAGCGACGTCTGCCCGTGAGTTCTTGACTGCGGAAGCGATGCGGTGGTGTCTGACAGAGAGAGACAGTTAGTTACTCGAACGATCGACCGAGTACTGACGACGTGATGGAATAGGTCGAGGGAAGAAGGGCATCTGCCCTGCCCCCTGGTTGATCAGGAATGGTTTGCGCGATTGGTTGCCTGCGTAGTGATCGAAGCATCTCGCCGACGTGCAGGCCCTGTGGATATGCATGACAACGGAAAGATAAAGCAACCGTTCCGCGATTGCGTTATCGACGGCGCGCGAGAGTATTACGATGAGGTGTGTGTCGGGATGCGTGCCATGGAGGCTGCGCCGCTCATGTGCTCGGTTGCCTGTCCCTTTTCTGGGGGGCTTATTCTCGGCGCAGCATTGCCCTCCGTGGCTGCTATGAACAATGTCCAGGACCTCCTCGGAAAGGGTTGGGATTCAACGTCCCTTGCAAATCGAGGGGCGCGCGGGGGAACATGCGAATATCGATTGGCGTGCATGGCGTGCTGTGTCCCACGACTGCCATCTGAATGATAAAGGGTATCCTGAACTGGGAGTCGATTCCCGACGAAACGAGCTGCCCTTGCGTCGTCAGCTTGCATGTCAGCCCCCTCTCGCCGCCCACGCCGGGGTCGGTGTCATGCGGAGGGCTTCTAGGTCTGATCGAGCTAGTTGGTTGAGAGCCAGACCATGAGAAGGCGTCGGGCGCTGTGCGATCGGGCGTCTTCTCTAAACGGGCTCGGGCGCTTCCGCGCCAACCAAACGCTGGAATAGTGATGATAACTAGGCTCGCTGGAACGATGGCGGTTCCTCGCGGAACTACGGTAATGTAGCTGGCAGCGCCAGTGGGGGCAACTGGGGCTCGAGGAGCATACGGTGGCGAGTCAAGTCATGGAGGGGTGATTCCGGGAAGTCATCGTGGAAGGACGAGCCTGATAAGAAGTGGGAAAAAGGGGTTCCTGGACGAGGTTAGGGGGCCACATGTAAACCCTACCCCTACCCCCACGACTTCCGAGGGCGAGGGTGGGGTTCATTGCGCTCGGGAGCTCCCGAGCGAAGTGAACCCCACCCTCCCTTCAGAAATCGTTGGGGGGCAGGGGTAGGGTTCGCATGTGGCCCCCCAGAGGTCAGCGAGGTCGCAGCAAGCCGCGGGGAGGGCGCGCTCAGTCGGAGCGATCCGCGCCGGGGCGCCCCGCGGGCCCGGCGAGTCAGTTATGGGTCCGTCGAGCGATGGGGCCTTCGCCTCCGCAGCAGGAGTGGGCGCTGCGCGGATGGGGCGGCGCTGCGCCATGCTTTTTGGCTTGGCGGCCCTCTGCGCGGCGTGCGGAAGGCTGGCGCGCGGGGCGAGGTTGCTCCCGTGCCCGCCGCGGGGGTGCAGCCGGGGCGCTGGAGAAGGAACCCTTTTCGTTGGGGAGGGGCTCCGCGTTCCTGAAGTGTTTCAGAGTTTGCCTCGGGTCTTCCTGAGGTTTTCCATCGGAAATCGAGGCTGAACTCATGGGCAAAAAGGGGCCTCGTTCCTGATTTAGGGTTCCTTGGGTCAGCGCCTCGACTGTAGTCGTGGCCTTCGCTCCCTCCGCTCTTCCTTTTGGGTTTCCTTGCGCGCGCCGTTAAGGCAAGTCAGCGGTGTGCTTTGCGCACCGCAGCTGGAAAAGGGGGGCGCGCACCGCCCGCGCGAGCGCGGCGTCATGTCGTCCTTCAGCGTTAAGGATCGTACTCCAGATTTCGTAATAAAGGGAGGGGGGTCTCATTTCTGGGAGGTTCTCTTCCAGGCTATCTTGGAGGGCCTGGGGGGTCTGGGGACGATGTTTTGGAGGGATCTCCCACGGGGGGGGTCTGAAATGGCTTGTCTTGGAGGGTCCAGACCCCCTCCCTTTTATTACGAAATCTGGAGTATCCTCCTGAAGACCATGGCGACGGGGTCTGCTGAGGCAGGGGAGGAGGGTCATGATGTTTCTCACATGTCGGGTATATGGACCAGCCGGCAACAGCACGTTTGTTCCTCGCCTTCCTCCTCCTGTTCCTGCTCCCCTTCTTCGTCCCAGTCTGTCGCTCGTCGTCTGCTAGTCGGCTGGTTTTCCTCCCGACTCGCGTCGCTTGCTTGTTTCGTTTGGGTTGGTAGGAATCTATTTAGAACCCAGAGCCCAGAACCCCTCCTTCTCTCCTGGTTCCCCTCCCCTTCCTCGACCGTTTCCGAGAGGTCGATTTGTACCAACAGGCAAGGCAGGCCATGCCGCCGGCACTGCGGAGTTTCCAAAATGCAGTGCAGGAGAATCTTGGACGTTGATGTTGCTTGGGGGTTCGAGAGCAGGCTTCGAGGGGGCGCTTGTCGGTGCGGGTTTTCCCGAAGCGTACCCGTGCAAGACTTCGGAACTCCAGACATGTCGAAACTCTCAGTGGGATCGCGCCGGTGGAGGAGGAGGAGGAGGGGCAGCAGTAGCAGGAACACATGCAGCCCATGGGGTCTTCGCCCTTCGGCTTGGCTTGTTCTGCCCAGGAAGGAAGAAATCACAGGCTGCGCACTGGTTCCATCGTTGTGATCTACTGGGGCACGTGCTCTCCTGCTCTCCTAACCTCTCTCTCCTCTCTCCTCTTTTTCCTTCCCTCCCCCTCTAATTGGAGAGAAAGAGAGAGACATACAATACATATAGATAGAGAGAGAGAGAGAGAGAAAAAAAAGAGAGAGAAAAAAGAGAGAGAGAGAGAGAGAGAAAGAGAGAGAGAGAGAGAAACACAAACAAAGAAATACATACATACAATGAGAGACAGAGGGAGAAAGAGAGAGAGAGAGAGAGAGAGAAAAAAAAAATAGACAGAGTACGTGTATAGTACATGATGCACGGGGCAGGTTCGCTGGAGTCGCCTTGCCGCGCTCAGTGGAGGACCCTTGTCGCTCCCGCTCCCGCCTTGCAGCGGTGGAATGAGCAGTGTGAGGGTATCCGCTTGCTGCGCGGCTAGTTGCAGTCGAATAGCGACTCACACTACGACCTGGGATTTTTCCAAGTATTGGACAGAGCGTCTTCTGAGTACGCCAGGGGGGAGTCAGAGGGGGGGTGGACCAGATGGCTCCCTCCCAAAAGTCTGGGGGTGCGGGGTTCGAGCCCCCTCTCACCCCTGTCCATAGTGATAGTGTATGTGTGTGGGGGGTTCGAACCCCTCTCCTGGGCGACGGCAAGCGACGGCGACGACGAGGGCCACGACGGCGACGACGCCTTGCGCCAGCGACCGATGAAGACGAGGACGAAGACGACGACGTGGACGACGACGAGGACGACGACGACGACGACGACGACGACGGCGTGTCCCGCCCGCCCGCCCGTCCGACTCGCCCATGGCGACGTCGACGACGTGTCCCGCCGACCGACAGACTCGCTGGCGACGACCACGACGGCGACGGCGACGGTGACAGCGAAGTCGACGGCGACGGCGACGGCGACGACGCCTTGCGACGACAAGCGACGACGATGAGGAAGATGACGACGAGAACGACGACGGTGACATGTCCCACCCGTCCGCCCGACCAACTCGCTCACGACGACGTGTCCCGCCCGCCCGCCTAACCGACTCGCCAGCAACCGGCGACGACGACGACGACGGCGATATACAAAGCACACCAAATGACAAGTAATGCACATCATTGCAAAGCAATGCCAAACGAAACAACGCACTACAAACCAATACAAATGCAATTCGTAGCAACGCACAGTAATACAAGGCAGCGCAAAGCGATGCAAAGCAATGCAATGCAGAAACCAATGCACAGCAACACATAGCAATGCAAAGCAATGCAAGGCAACGCAAAGCAATGCAGCGCAATTCAAACCAACGAAGCGCAATGCAAAGCAATGCAGTGCAAAGCAATGCAACGCAATGCACAACAATGCAACACGATGCCAACCAATGCAAATCAGTGCCAAGCAATGCAAAGCAATGCCGAACAATGCAACGCAATGCGAAGCAATGCAAAGCGGGCGGCGAAGAGGAGACGGGCGGCGACGAGGCGGCGACGGTGACCACATGGCGGCCAGAGCGGCCCGCAGGCCCAGTTCTGTAGACTGGTAAGAACTCCTGAGTTCAAGCACTGTTTTGGGAATACAGTCCCGTATGCAGCCCTGCCCACTGTTCTGATTACAACTTCTGCTCAGCTTGGCTTTGCTTTAGGTAAGGCCATTCCAGCTCCGCTCATTTCAGAAGGGGTGTGGTTCTTACAAACGTCAGCTGTTTCCCCTGCCCGTGCGCTGGTGCTCCTCACTCCCCAAGACCTCGGCTGCAGCGCTGCGCATCGTCAGCACCATCTCTCTCTCCACCACCCCCATTTCCGCAGCAGCTCCCCTCATCCCCTCATCCTCCTAGTCTCCCTGGTTCGTCGTCGTCGTCGTCGTCGTCGCAGTTTTCTGCACCGCCTCCTCGGCGAGGACCGCGCCGTGTCCTTAGCTGCTGCCCCGGCGCCTGCAGTGCCGCCGCCCGCCCCCCGAACGGAGGATCCTCGGCGGAGCAAATCGCTCTCGGGGCGCGCCCCCAGTCGCTTGTCTTCTACTCCTAAGTCATAGCCGTCGTGCAAGATGATCGGGTTTGTCTCCTTACGCTGTGAATTCTTTACGACGTGAATCCGTAAGGGCTTCGCCCCCTACCGCTGGCCCCATCTCTCGGAGAATGGGCCATGGAAGAGCAAAGTCATGAAGGTTTGGCTTCGCCGTGAAGCAGTGTCGGGGCCTGTTTGTTTTTGTTCGACCATGACCCTACGGATCGGCGTGAGGGGTGCCGCCGAATTTCAGAAATGTGGCAAATCCCTTGTGTTTTTGCACCCTGACCCCACGGATCTGCGTGAGGGGTGACGCCGAATTTTAGAACTGTGGCACCTGACCCTACGGATCTGCGTGAGAGGTGCCGCCGAATTTCAGAAATGTGGGAAACCCATTGTGTTTTTGGACCCTGACCCTGCCGATCTGCGTAAGGGGTGCCACCGACTTTTTAGAAATGTAGCAAATCCCTTCTGTTTTTGGACCCTGACCCCGCCGATCTGCATGAGGGGTGTCACCGTGCAAATCCCTTGTGTTTTCGGACCCTGACCCCGCCGATCTGCGTGAGGGGTGCCGCCGGATTTTAGAAATGTGGGAAATCGCATGTGTTCTTGGACCCTGACCCCGCCGATCTGCATGAGGGGTACCACCGAATTTCAGAAATGTGGGAAATCGCATGTGTTTTTGGACCCTGACCCCGCCGATCTGCGTGAGGGGTGCCACCGGATTTTAGAAATGTTGCAAATCCCTTTTGGATTTCGAACCTGACCCCGCCGATCTGCGTGAGGGGTGCCACCGAATTTCAGAATGTGGCAAATCCCGTGTGCTTTTTGGACCCTGGCCCCGCCGATCTGCGTGAGGTGTGCCGCCGAATTTTAGAATTGTGGCAAATCCCTTGTGTTTTTGGACCCTGACCTCGCCGATCTGTGTGAGGGGTGTAATTTTTTACCCACCCCAGCAATTCAGACAATACGATTTGGGCCTGGCAAAAATGCTCGTTTTGGGCCTCCCCCCCTCGCGCGGTCCATCAACAAGGGACAGTAAGCAGCAAGAAGTCAACAAGGAACAGTAAGCAGTAAGAAGCAGATCTGTAACAGTGGAAACTGGAAGCTGCAACTGGTACAGGAAACTGCGAACCTCCGGCCTACAGCCTGGTGGCCCCACAAGGGGGCCGGCGGATTTTCCCATGCAGAGGCGAGCCCCTAATCTTTTCGGGCCAAGTGGGGACAACTCCCTTGATGCTGGAGAGTCCAGCTCTTGAGCTTTGTTTCGTTTGGTATATGGCAGGACGGGGAGCTCAGCTTCGAATTGAACAGTCAATGCTTATCTGGGTCGGCGGTTTTCGCTTTTAATTGATTGGGTTCTGCTACTCTTTGCCCTAGTGAGCCAAACATCGTCGCACAACAGGTTCGGTGGGGGTTTCGCCGTGCTGTCATGATTATCGAAGACGAAAGAGCGCCAGTGGATCACCTTGAAGACACAAAAGGTGGGTGTGCTCCAGGGACCCCCCCCCCCCCCTCCCCCCTTAAGGGGGGGGGGGGGTCCGAGAACCCCCCCCCCCCTTCCCCCCCTTTAAAGGGGGGGGGGGGTTCGAACCCCTCCCCCCCTCCCCTTTGAAAGGGGGGGGGGGTTCGGAACCCCTCCCCCCCGTTGAAGGGGGGGCGGGGTTCGAAACCCCCCCACCCCCCTCCCCCCCTTTCCGCAGGGGTCCGGGGCGAGCGAGGCGAGCGAGGTTTAGGGTTTAGGGTTAGGGTTAGGGGTTAGGGCTTAGGGTTTAGGGTTTAGGGTTTAGGGTTTAGGGTTAGGGTTAGGGTTAGGGTTTAGGGTTTAGGGTTAGGGTTTAGGGTTTAGGGTTTAGGGTTAGGGTTAGGGTTTAGGGTTAGGGGTATGGTTTGTGTTGAGGGTTAAGGTTTAGGGTTAGGGTGAGGGTGAGAGTTTAGGGTTAGGGTTCGGGTTCGGGTTTAGGGTTAAGGTTTAGGGTTCAGGGTTTAGGGTTAGGGTTAAGGTTTAGGGTTAGGTCATAGGGTTTAGGGTTACGGTTAAGGTTTAGGGTTAGGGTTAGGGCTAGAGTTTAGGGTTAGGGTTAGGGTTAAGGATTAGGGTGTAGGGGTTAGGGTTAGGGTTAGGGTTTAGGGTCAGGGTTTAGGGTGTAGGGTTTTGGGGGTTAGGGTTTAGGGTTAGGGTTAGGGTTTAGGGTTAGGGTTTAGAGTTTAGGGCTAGGGTTTAGGGTTTAGGGTCAGGGTTGGGGTTGAGGTTAGGGTTTAGGGTTAGGGTTAGGGTTTAGGGTTTAGGGTGAGGGGTAGGGTTGAGGTTAGGGTGTAGGGATAGGGTTGAGGGTTAGGGTTAAGGGTTCAGGTTTAGAGCTTAGGTTAGGGCTAGGCTTAGTGTTAGGGTTTGGGGTCAGGGTTAGGTCTACGGTTAGGGTTTAGGCTTCGGGTTAGGGATTAAGGATTAGGGTTCAGGGTTTGGGTTAGAGGTTAGGGGTTCGGGGGGGTCGGGGCGGGAGTGGTAGGGATGGGGTTCCGGAGCCGGGGCGCGAGCCGGGGAAAGGGGGGGGGGGGGGTTCGCCGACGACGGTTCGGGAAGGGGGGGGGGTTCGCGACGACGGCTCGGGCAAGGGGGGGGGGGGGGGGTTCGCCGACGACGGCTCGGGCAAGGGGGGCGGGGGGGGTTCGCCGACCACGGCTCGGGCAAGGGGGGTGGGGGGGGTCCGACCCCCCCCCCCCCCCTTTGGGTGATCCAGCGGCGCGCCCTCATGCCCACGGCGAATCACCGCCGCCCCTGGCCTTTTGGAAACGCCTGCGGCCAAACTTTCTACCGAAATCTGGCCAAGCTATTTGCCTGCGTGTTCCACCAGCCGTTGTGGAACCCCATTTGGGGAAGAGAATGGAAGAGCGGGAGGAGAAGGAGGAGGAACGAGAGGCGGGGGATGAGGATGATGATGATGATGATGATGATGAGGAGGAGGAGGAGGAGGAGGAGGAGGAGGAGAAGGAGGAGTTACCCGCGTGCTCCCGCCCGTGAGTGGGTGCCCCTGGTCTCGGCACCCCGCGCAGGCAAAACGCGCCCGAGGCGGGGTGGGCCAGCGGCCTCATCTCACGGCGTCCTGCTGCCGCCACTCGAAGACTCGTGGAGTCGCCCCGCGAGCGGCGGCAGTCTGAAGAAACGCTGCCGCCGCCCTCTCAGAGCTTGAGGAGCAGCCTGATGGACGGCCGCTGCCGCTCCTCCGCTCTGCGCTCTTCCAGGGACCGCATTGGCCGCTGGTCCCTGGACTCGTGGGCCTTCACGGCCGCCTTGCCTGGCGCAGGCCTGTGGCCTAACCCCTCGCCACGCTGGCGGTGCATTGCGGCCTAACCCCTCTCCGCGCAGGGGTCCTGCGTGGCCTAACCCCTCGCCACGCTGGGGCCTGCTGCGGTCTGGCCCCTCACCGCGCTGGGGTGCTCCGTGGTGGCCTAACCCCTCGCCACGCGGGGGTCTGCTGCGGTCTAACCCCTCACCGCGCTGGGGTCCGTCGTGGCCTGACCCCTCGCCACGCTGGGGGTCGGTGCGGTCTGACCCCTCACCGCGCTGGGGAACTTCGTGGCCTAACCCCTCGACTCGCTGGGGGTTGCTGCGGTCTAACCCCTCACGGCGCTGGGGTGTTCCGTGGCCTAACCCCTCGCCGCGCAGGGGCCTGCTGCGGTCTAACCCCTCACGGCGCTGGGGTCCTCTGCGGCCTACCCCCTCGCCGCGCAGGGGCCTGCTGCGGTCTAACCCCTCACCACTACGGGGTCCGCCGTGGCCTAACCCCTCGCCACGCTGGGGGTCGTTGCGGTCTAACCCCTCACCTCGCTGGGGTACTCCGTGGCCTAACCCCTCGCCGCGCAGGGGCTTGCTGCGGTCTAACCCCTCTCCGCGCTGGGGTCCTCTGTGGCCCAACCCCTCGCCACGCGGGGGTCCTCTGCGGTCTGCCTCCTCGCCGTGTTGGGGTCCTTCGTGGCCAAAGCCCTCACCATGCTGGGGTCTGCTGCGGTCTAACCCCTCACCGCGCTGGGGTCCTCCGTGGCCTGATCCCTCGCCACGCTGGGGTCCTCTGCGGTCGGCCAGGTGGCACCCTATGTTGTGCTGTACATCTAGGATCTGCTGGTGGTTGTCATCGCTGTCCTGCTTGTCTGCGGGCTGCTGGAGGCAATCCTCGCTGTTCTCCTCGTCTAGGAAGTGGTCGAGATCTGCCATGTCCATGGTGTTCCGTCCTGCTGGTGGGGGACGGGCACCCCTCTGCATCCCGTCTGGCGCAAGGCTGTGGCCTCACCCCTCGCCACGCTGGGGTCCTCCGCGGCCCACCCCCTCGCCGCGCAGTGGCCCATGGTGGCCTGACCCCTTTTCCACGCAGGGGCCTGCTGCGGTCTAGCCCTTCACCTCGCTGGGGTCCTCTGTGACCTGACCCCTCGCCTCGCTGGGGGCCGGTGCGGTTTAGCCCCTCACCGCGCTGGGGTCCTCCGTGGCCTGGCCTCTCGCCACGCTGGGGTCCTCTGCAACCTGCCATGTGGTGCCCGATGCTGTTCTGGTAATCTGGGATCTGAAGGTGGTTGTAATCGCCGTCCTGCTTGTCTGCGGGCTGTTGGGAGCTGTCCTCGCTGTTCTCCTCGTCCTGGAAGAGGTCGCGGTGAACTATGCCCGTGGTGCTCCGTCCTGCTGGTGGGGGACGGGCACCCCTCTGCATCCCGTCTGGCACAGGGCTGTGGCCTAACCCCTCGCCACGCTGGGGTCCTCTGCGGCCTACCCCCTCGCCGCGCAGGGGTCCTTCGTGGCCTAACCCCTCGCCGCACAGGGGCCTGCTGCGGTCTAACCCCTCACCGCGCTGGAGTCCGTTGTGGCCTAACCCCTCGCCACGCTGGGGTTCGGTGCAGTCTAACCCCTGGCCGTGTTGGGGGCCTCCATGGCCTGGCCCTGCGCCGCGCTGGGGGCCGTTGCGGTCTAAT